GAACCACACATACAGAGTAAAAATTTAAAGACTGTTCTGTTCTATATCTACTAAAAATTAATATTGATTTTTAATAATTTGTCTTTCTATATATATTAACTTGAGAAAATATGAATTCAGATATTTAAAAATAAAGGGGAAAGGAATTAAAAATCTTTCTGAGAAATACAATGAACTATTCTTTCACATTTTTATTCATTAAAAAATTGTTTATCTCTTACAGAAACATTGGAATGACATAATCTCAAGTAATTTTGATCAGCCAAGTGAAGAAACACTCAGAAACATTCATTTTTATTTTACCAAAGACCAAAATATTGAGTAAATGGTCAAATCTGAAATCTAAAACATAATGGAATCTAGCCATACCTTCTACAAAGTGCTGTGCTACTTACTCCTCACGATAGATAACAAAAGATGGTAAAGCTGTTCTTGTCCTTGATGGAAAAAAACTTTTTCTATAGTAAAAAGAAAAAAAAATACAAAAACAAAAACAAGCTCTATGGTGCCATCTTTTGGACTGTTCAAGTTTTTTAACAAAATTCCTTCTTACATTATAAGAAACAATTTATGGATCAGTATCAAGATAAAAACAAACAATTACTATCTGTACACCTTAAGCCATATTTGCTCTATCTTATTCTAAACTTCTGTATTAGGATTTAAGATATATTTATATTGAATAGTTTTATATAATATTAAAATTCTACTAACAATTCTGAAAATAAAGCCTTTTTGAGTAACACACTACATGTTCTCAACACCTTGTGGTAGTGGTTCCTAAAGTGAGTTACCCCCACTATCACCAGCATCATCACCTGGGAACTTGTTAGAAATGCAAATTGGGGTGATGGGTATTGAGGAGGGCATGTGCTGTGATGAGCACTGGGTGTTATACTTAACTAATGAATCACTGAACACTACATCAGAAACTAATGATGTACTACACAGTGGCTAACTGAACATAAAAAAAAAAAATGCAAATTCTTGGACCACACTTCAAATGGACGAAACTGAAGTGAGGGTGGGAGGAGTCTGATTTCAACAAGCCCTCAGAGTGATTCTGATACAAGCTAACCCGTGAAAAACCATGTCCCACAGGATTTTGAAAAAGGTCCACAGGTAATAGTTAAGAATCACTAGCAGATGGATGTGAGGGTGATCTGGCTGCAACATCTGTCACCCCATTGATCGCCAGGGTTGATTCGGCTGATCTGGCTGGCTAGGCGGGTGTCCCCTTCCTCCCTCACCGCTCCATGTGCGTCCCTCCCGAAGCTGCACGCTCGGTCGAAGAGGACGACCTTCCCCGATAGAGGAGGACCGTTCTTCGGTCAAGGGTATACGAGTAGCTGCGCTCCCCTGCTAGAACCTCCAAACAAGCTCTCTCAAGAATCACTAGCAGATCAGTAGTTCATAACCTTTGCTACACACTGGGATCACCAAAGAGCTTTAAAAATACTTTGGTCCCACTCCAGTACCTGATTTAATAGTTCTGTGAGGTGAGTAAAGCCTGGACAATGGAATCTGTAAGTCTCGCAAGGGATTCTAAAATGCAGCCAAGGTTGAAAGCCAGTATCTAGAGGATTGTATTTTCAAAAGGAAGAGTTCACTAAGAGTCTTAGTTAAGTGGAGTTTGAAATGAGACATGAAAAGCTAGCCTTCAAAACCAAGATACATTCAAAATATCGTTACAAAAAAAAAAAAAGAACTGGTTCACTTCAAGTCTGTAAATTTTACATTTTCAAAGGCTACATAAGAAAATACATACTGTACATTTCTGGTTGTTGAGAGGGTTAAAAAAAAAAAAAAGAGGACATGATAGCCTTTGCCCTTATAGACCATCTAATATACCTGGGCTTATTTCATAATAAGTAACAAAGTATAAATGCCAAATTTGAGGTACAGATTGAATGCAGAAGTCAATGGAAGAAGAAATCACATTTAATCATAGTAGTATTTAAGACTGTCAAAAAATAGATTAGAACTTCAGTCTTTAAGAATGAATTATATAGGGGTGCCTGGGTAGCTCAGTCGTTAAGCGTCTGCCTTTGGCTCAGGTTATGATCCCAGGGTCCTGGGATCAAGCCCAACGTCGGAAGATTGGCGGAGAGCCTGCTTCTCCCTCTCCCACTCCCCCCGCTTGTGCTCCCTCTCTCTGTGTGTGTCTCTGTCAAATAAAATCTTTAAAAAAAAAAAAAAAAGAATGAATTACATAAAGAGTATTTGTGAGGCACGTAGGTGGGCAGACCTGATGGGAGAAAAGACACATAGGGGGTTGCTGGATTTTTGGGGGGAGGGGGAGGGGACTGATAATAATGTAACATAAAAGAACCTTGCTCACTGAGGGATTTCTCATGACTTGACTATTTTGTCAATTTTCCCAAGGATGGTACATAACTGGTACCATTCTAGAAACACAAGACAGATATAAGAGAAGTTAATTCATTACATACAATGGATGCCTTGTGGCATGGTTTTCACACTTAACATGACCCAGAATCACTTGGAGGGCTTGTTAAAACAGACTGCTGGGCCCCACCCTCAGAGTCTGACTCTGAGGTAAGGCCCCAGATTGTGTATTTCTAACAAATCCTTAAATGCTGCTGATACTGTTAGTGCAAAAATAACACCTTGAAAACCATTGCCTTAGGGCACTAAGACTTAATTCTCTGGTGGTATTCTCATTAAGGCTGATATAAAGTATATTTTCATTTTTATTTTGAAAGTCATTCACACTCATTAAATACAGAAAACAGACCAGTAGAAAAAAGCAGCATCGCCCTTACTCCCTCCATTCAAGGCAACATCTTGGTATGTTTTACTGCACTCTTCTCTGAAGAAATAAATGGAGTATTCTTGACTGAAACATACATAGGAATGTATGCAAACACCGTACCAACTCATACATGTCATGGAGGCCAAAAGGCAGTCAATTCACTCAGATGTAGTATGCTAGAGCAATAATTCTTCTCAGGCTCCTATGAAAAAGTGGAATTTCTGCTCACTGATAGTAAAAAAGGGCAGTTCACCCATACTTTCATATCAAAATTAGTCTTGTGTTATTAAACTTGAGTGATCTCTTGGTCAACTAGACCAAGTATTTATTGAAATATTTTCAATAATGGTATGTCAGCAACATACTTTCTAAGCCCTTTCATTTCTGAGAATATTTTTCTTTTACAATTATACTAAATGACAACTTGGTTGGGTAGGAAACTCTTAACGACTTGATTTCACAACTTTCTCAATCCATTGACTTCTGGCACTTAACAAACTCTGAAACCAGAACTGATTTACATTCCTTGGTATATAACTTGTATTCACTAACCACTCTTTCACCCCTACTCCCTAGCCTGAACACTTACAGTTTTTTCCTCAAAACTTGTAATTTAGAAAAACTTACCTAAGCTTTTATCTAGATGTGGACCTCTTTTCAATGATTTTATCTGAAAGAGTGTGTTTCCCTTAATTATACATACCACAAGTTTGAGAGTTTTTTGTTTTTAATTAAAGAAAGTCATCTTTATATCGGGCCATTATTTTTATTCCAAGTGCTAGATTTACTTTCCATGAAATATCATTCCTTTGTTGGGTTCCCAGTATCCTTCTTTCGCCTTAATTACCTCAAAAGTTTTTTCTCATCATTTTCATTCTTGTCATTTTACGATTAGTGCTTTTCAAGTTTGTCCTCCACAGATACAGCTTCATTATCTGTAATATTAAATTCAACTCCTTCTAATCTATTGCCCTAAGGGGAACGTCAGTTTTGCTATTCCCCTCACCCTTCCTTATGTTGCCTGTTGCCCTTTCATCTGAGCTTATTGTCTCCTGATGGGCTGTCCTTCCTATTTCATGGGAGCTACATCTTTTTAAGTGTTATTAAATATGCCCAATGTTGTTTTTATCTTCATTTTTCCTGCTTCCTTTCACATTCACAGGGCAGCTCTTCCTTCAACATTTCAATTATTTTCCTTCCCCTTATTCTGCAATATTTTTTCAGATTTTTTTTTTTTCAGTATTTTCCTCATGGTAACACTTCCTTGACAAAAAAAGCATAATCAACTCATGTTCAGTAAATGTTAACGAGTCAAGAGGTACACGTTGCCCCTTCATCCTGCTTTCTAACCACAGCTGCTAGTGGAATCCCTTCCCAAAATGACATGCAAGATCTAAGCAACTCCCAGTGCCCAAGAGGCTTTATCTAGTTTGGTTCTATCAGAAAAAGAGGGGGGCTTCTTGTACTCCCAATGACTAAATCTCTGAAACCCTGAACGTGGTATCTTTGAAATTCTTCCCTTCGGCCTCCTACTACCTACCTAAATCCTACCTTTTCCTGCCATGAAGACCCATTCTGACCTCTCACTTCTTTAAAGGCTTGTCTTTGGTATAGCTAGTGTCATATAATTTTCCCCTTTTCTGTTATGATTTCATGTTTTTCCAACTCTACATCAAGTTATTCAAGGCCAGAAACATTTAACACTTCTTTGAAATTACACAGAAATAAAATACTTTGTCAATTAATAAGAAATGCATTTTCAGAGAACTTCATAAAGTATCCAGACACTTTCACTAAGGTGAGATTTTGTGTAATAGATACAATTTAGGCAAACACATCCCCAAGACTCAGTCTAAGAATCCCTTAACATTCCAGTTTCTTTTCTGAAGCTTTTGGAAGCAATCAGTTTACTTTTAAGTAGAAAAAGGGCTCTATGTAACAACAGCAACAGAAAATTCAATCCATTCTGTTGGTTAAAAAAGCTTGCTAATTCAAGAAGCTAAAATAGTATATAACATAATTAAGGACATATTCTTTTGGGTGGAGATCGTCTAAAAGTGTTATAAGCAAATACTATATCCTAAACCTGCAAGGATCCAAAATCCAAACAGGATTTTGTTTCAATGAGTTCTACTATATTACATTCATTGCCTCACTTCTGATCAATAATGATTATTTTTAGTAAACTCACATATCAATGATGAAAGTAAGGTAGCCTACTTACCCCACCCATTGTAATTCCATGAATAAGTGCAACATATGGTTTCTGGCAAGAACCTAAAATACAAAACAAAACAGAACAAAAAACAGAGCTATAATTAATTACAATGTTTAAAATACATTCACTTTTCCAAAAATCTCATGTTACATGAAATCTGAATAATTTCTTTAGGAAATTTTTGCAAGAAATACCAAAGTGGCTAAATATATGGCTTCTAAAATACGTTCTTTTTAAAATGTCAATCCCTACACAATCCTGATTGTCTATTATCATTTAACAACTCAACACTTCAACTTAAATGAAAGCCTTTTATAACTCAGCTATTTAAAAACATAATTAAGATTTACCTTATAAGCCATGGATGTTATGTACACAGTTGTATTTTAAGGAACCTAATTTGTTTTCAATACAAAGAGAAGTGCAGCATACAGTAAAAAGCAAGGACTGGGAGTTAGAAGACCCAGATTCCAGTCTCATCTTTGTCATTAACTGGCAAATCAACTATATTCAATATATATACTGGCATGAGATATACACACACACACACAAACACACACACGCAAATACTGGCAATTCAATATATATACTAGCATTAGGTATATACACATTTATACACACACGTTAATGTATTATATATGTGCATATCATATGTATGTATATGATTTATAGGTAAGTTTCCTCATCTATTAAATAATGAGATTAAATATACGGTCTCAGAAGTGCCTTTCAGCTCAAAAGTTCTGTAAAATTTTACTGTGTTCCTTTTCCTTTTTTCTTTTTCCTCTGAGAGGGGGAGTTGCTTATAACATAACAAAAATGTAAATCACTGAGCTTCTGTTACTGCTTGTTGCCAATATGACTTCCTTACTGAAGACCAATATAAAAATTCAGTTTTTTGGGTTTCTGTTTTGGACTTTTTTTTTTTTTTTGATTGTAGTAGACACAATGTTACATCAGTTTCAGGTGTACAACATAGTGATTCAACAAGTTTATATACATTATGTTATGCTCACCATAAGTGTAGCTACCATTTGTCACCATGCAATGCCATTATAATACCATTGACTATATTCCCCATGCTGTACCTTTTATTCCTGTGACTTACTCATTCCATAACTGGAAGACTGTATTGCTCACTCCCCCCTTCACCCATTTTACCTATCCCTCCACTTCCCTCCCCTCTGGCAACCATCAGTTTGTTCTCTGTATTTACAGGTCTGTTTTCTGCTGTTTATTCATTTGTTTTTTAGATTCCACATATAAGTGAAATCATATGGTATGTCTTTCTCTGACTCATTTCACTTACCATAATACCCTCTAGATACATCCCGTGTTGTCACAAATGGCAAGATCTCATTCTTTTTTATGGCTGAGTAATATTCCATGCAATGTGGAAGGATAAAACTGCAGTTTCAATCCATCTAGCAGTTCTGTATTTCCAGCTTGCCAAATGAGCCATCAAGTCACAATTCTAGAATGAGCTTCACTCATATTTGCCAGTTTGCAACGTCTATAGCCTTCAATCTTGAACTATAATTCCCTTCAATCTTGAACTGTAATTCCCTAGGAAACTATAATTCCCTAGAAACTATGGAAAGAAATTTCTCTATTGATTGGGATGGAGATACATACACACACCCCATTTCAGCTATATATATATATATATATCAGATATAAAATATTAGAAGCTAACTGATGCAGGGAATAAAGCCAGAATCTGTCAAATGCCTTATTAAACACAATATATCATTACAATGTATAGAAATTAAACCTTGAAGGCTTTCTCTCTGTATATTAATATTTAACCAAACTCTTTAAACTCCTTAGAGGTTTTCTCCCATCTCCTTTTATTTAGTATAGAACTGCACTAATATAGTAGCCACTAGACAAATGTAGCTATTGAAATTAAATTTCTTGCTCACACTAGCCCCATTTCAAGTTCTCATTAGCCACATGAATAAGCCACTCTAAGTAAACCTGATACGTAGAATTTTAGACTTAAAGAAGTGAGAGATATCCATTCAATCTGGCTCACTGAGCTAAATCAAGAAGTAGCCTTTTTTCCCATGCCTACTTCAAATACATAGTAATTCTATGAAAAAAAAAATTTTTTTTAAATGTACATCCAAGTTCAAAGCCAAACAAAGGAAATCCACCAGTGCCAGAATAAACTCAAAATCAATAGCTGAGTGAAGCTACAGCCAGTGACTTTGAGTGAACGTGTATTTGATTTGAGTCAGAAATAAATTCTGGCCCACATAACTTACGAAATGGACTACCTGCATAAAAGTTCATTCTTGGGAACTATTAGATTCACAAAACATGATTAGAAAAACCATCTGCTGAGCCAGGAAGTGAATAAATTCCTTCCAAGAAAGGGAGAGAAAAAGCCAAAGAAAATGGATGCTCAAGCAGATAATAAGCACCACCACTACCACAGAACAAAAAAACTCCCCTAACAAATTTGTAATAGAAGTAATATCTGTAACTTGGTAAAAATGTGCCTACAAAATGATTATACTAAAAATTGAAAGTTTAAAAGCTTTCCTATGGACATCAGAAATAAGACAACATATAATCATTCAACATTACAATGGAGGTCCCAGCCAAAATATAAGAAAAGTCATAATATAAAGACTGGAGAGACAGAAGTGAAAAAAATTATGTGCAGATGGTATAATTGCCTATGTAGAAAAGCCAAGAGAATCTACAGAAATATCATTAGAATAACAAATTTCAGCAGGGTTGCAGGATAGAAGAACAAACTCTAAAATCCAAAGCACTTCAATATGCCAAAAACAGTAAATTACAAAATGTAACAGTAAAATTACCATTAAATGTTCTAATAAAAAAAGTAAGCTACCTTAGAATAAAACTTAAAAAAAAAGGCAGCAACATCTTTATGGATAAAGTTACAAAACATTATTAAAGGACATACAAACTCAAATCTGATTAAAAGTTCCAAACTGGTTTAGGGTGATAGTTACACAAGTTTACTAAAAGTTATTGAATTAGGTGCCTGGCTAGCTCAGTCAGTAGAGCATGAGACTCTTAAAAGTTATTGAATTATATATTTGAAATGGGTGAGTTTTATGGTATGTAAATTATGATTCTGCAAGTTTTTAAGTCTGCATAAATAAAGAGATATGCCACATGCATAGATAGGAAGACTCAATATGAAAGATGTCAGTTCACCCTAAATTAATCTATAATTGTCATTCCAATCAAAACCTCAATGGAATCTTCTGTGGAGCCTGAAAAAATAATTCTAAAACTCATATGGAAGATCAAAAGCCCAAGAGCAGCCAAGACAATTCCAAAAGAAAACAAGAGCAACTTACACTGCCAGATAGAAACATATCTTAAAGCTGTAATAAGGGAGACATTGTAGTTTCATCATTAAGTACAAACAGACCAGTGAACAAAGTAGCCCAGAAACAGACCAAGTCGCATATAAGAACTTGATATATGACAGAGGTATCATTAAAATCAGTGAAAAAGGCATGAACGTTATAATAAAAGGCATTACAACATCTGGCTTTCTAGCTGAAAAATAAAAGTTAAATGATGTCACATGCAAAAAACAATTCCAAGTACATTAAAGACTTAGAGTATAAAGAAGCAAAATATCGAAGCTATTAAAAGAAAATATGAGAACATCTTAATAACCTCAGTGTTACTAAGTGGGTTTTTTTAAATGCAAAAAAGCAGAAATCATATAGGAAAACAATGGATACATTTCAACTCATCAAATAAGAACGTGTATATACCAAAAGATAAAGTAGCAAAGAGAAGTGTTCTTATAGTACATATAATCTACAAAAGTGAGGAATCCAGAATATATAAAGACCTATACCATCAATAAGAAAAAGACAAACAATCCAACAGAAAGATGAACAAAGAATGAGAAGAAAATCTAAATATGTAGCAAAAATACCAAGTATGGTCTAGTAGGATACCCTAAAAATTAATGACAATGGTTACTTCTTAAGGAGAGATAATGGTTGCTTCTGGGGAGAGGAAAAAAATGGCACTGAGGAAAGCAACAAAGTGTACTGAAGTTTAAAACCTGTAGTGTTATATTTCTTTCAAATAAATCTTAAAACATCAAGCAAAAATAAAATATTAATATCTGTTCATCCTGGCTGGTGGGAACATAACTATTTATTATCTTATTCCCTGCAATTTAACATTTGAAACACGTTTGATAAAAAGTACTGCTTCACTTCCAGTGAAATCTGGAACATCAACTATGAAGACACTTTCATCCCAGAGTTCCTCAAGAATTAAGAAATGGTATTTCATTTTACATAGAAAACTGAGACCCAAGTTTTCTGCTTTCCTAAAAAGCCAGTTGTATGATCAGAATCCATGTTTTCATATTGATTGTAGGACAAATAGTAATTAAGTATAGCTTACTAATATTAAGTGTGAATTGTCCTGGAATGAGCCGAATAATCAGCTTTACTTATGCCTGACATATAGTACATAAAAGAGTAAATAAGAGTGTCTGATATTTTTAACAATTAATATTATGCAGCTTATTTCTTGATTCCATTTTCAAAGCTCTCAGTGGAACACACGTACCAATGGCATTGTTCAGCATATATTCTTCTCTAAAGAAATCTTGAGCTATCTTCTGGTTTGCCTTTCCAGCTTCGGAGATCGCTACAAGAAAAAAAAAAAGGAAGGAACGAAGGGGAAGAAGGAAAGATTACAAATTTTTTAAAAAGTGCTTTCTAGTGGGGCGCCTAACTGGCTCAGTTGGTAGAGCATGCCAGCTCTTGATCTCAGAGTTGTGAGTTCAAGCTCCATGATGGGTATACAGATTACTTAAAAATAAAATCTTTTTTAAAAAAAGTGCTTTCTAGTTAATACAAAGAGAATAAATTTAAAATCTTGTGATATTAAGTCCTGGGGAAACTCTAGAATGGTTTGTTAAAGTTTTGAAGTGTCCATGCCACAGACACAGTTAGCCCTAGATCCATGGTCCATTGTCAAAACTTCAAGGCAAAAATTCTTAAGGACTTCTTAAAAAGTGTTATACCTCATTTAGAACTTATATATTGCTACAAAATTCATTTTGACTCTTTTCTGTAGCACTTGAATAAACATTTGCTGGATATACATTTCAGTGGTAATATGGCTTAACACAAAGCACATTATACATACAGAAAAATATAAGTACATGTGTGCATGTGTGTACATACACTCCCAGCTCCACAATATATTCCATCTAGTCAAGTATTTCTGCCACATTCATTTCACCATAAAACATTTATTGAGCATCTACTGTATTCCTATTCCAGTCAATGGTATGACTACTATCAAACCATTCTCTCCCATACACTGCAAGCTCATATCCTTCCTGTCTTTAAATCTTAGGAGAATTATCTATTAAAATACAAATTAAAATATAAACATATTTCTTCTTCTATGGGAAATAGTTACATAAAAATTATTGACTACAGATTTTTAGACTGATTTTAGAAGTCTGATATATCAGCCTTCAAAATGTTCCAAATGTTCACTTCTTTTCCTGGATTTTAAAAGAAAGATTTGGTGTCTATTTTTGTCCTTCTGGGGATTTCACCGATATATGTACACCCCCAAACCCTCATATCTATTGTTTCTTATTCAGTCCTTACCACTACTTAGCAATTCTAAAAGGACAAGAGTGCAAATTATAATGCCTATGGAATGAAGCTCTTTTACCTCAAAAATCTTCTTTGATTTACTCTTTTATTCTAATCAATTAATTCCACAGAAGTTAAAATAAATTACATTCATAATCACATTTAAAAAATTTTTTTCTGAGTGCCCGTTTATCATCTTGGACTATGATCTTTAAAGCAACTAAATTTCCTGGAATTGAAGACCACTGCTTTATACACATTAACTAAAATAAATCTGTAATTTGTAACTGTATTTCCAAACATCAATATAAAGTTACACCTATATGCAAAAATAGCTCACAGAAGAAGCTAAAAACAATACGTAAGGCTCTGCCCATCCGTAAACTGACAAGATCACAGACCCAACTCCAGAAGAAAGGTTAGCTTCATGCTGGAAAACAATATTTTAAAAATATTCATGTTGTGGGCAAAACAAATCCAAACACAATTCGGTTAACAAATCTATCTAAGCAATTAAAAAATTTAAGAATTAAAAATAGAAAAATTGATAGAATTAAAACATTAAAATTCAGTTACTTTAAATTTAATAGGTATCTGAAATTACGTCCTAAATCAAGCTTGTTTCTTCCCATTCCAAATATAATGGTTTATGTAAACTTGTAAATTTGGAAAATAGATCAATCCAAACCATACTGCCTTTAACACAATACAAAAATATATAGATTTATATATACGTGCATAGAGATATATAGATATACACATACACATATATACACACATACAAATACAAAAAAAAAAAAAAAAAAAAAAACAAAGAAAAAACCATCCCTGGACTCTAATCAGTTCCATAACAAACAAAATACAAAATGCAAAAACAGTTTTCAGTATATATAAAATACTGACAACCAGTGGTGAGAGGTACATGACTTTGATCCTGAGACCAAATATTTCTTCTCTCTTTTGTCTTTAATAGCTAAATGTATACAGATTGACCTAAAGAACTAGAAAATATTTTTATAAAAAAAATATAAAATTATTTTTATTTTATTTTATTATTTTTATTTTTATCCCATCTCGGCATGTTTACTTAAACACCTGTAAAAATATATTAACAACAGGATGAATTCTATAATTAAGTACATTCTTGCTTTGGGATCATGCACTGGGGGAAAGCACAGGCACAGTCAAGGAAACATGTGAAGGAATGTCATATCTGGAGAATGACAAGTCACTCAACATGGCCAGATTGTCAGGTTATAGGACAAATTAAACTGAACATCAGCTAACCTAAAATAAAAAGTGGACTCACATAACAGGACATTTTGTTTAGGATGATTCAGGGAGAAAGACAGGATATATGAAGGGCACATATGTAGTTTAAAAAAAAGAAGCTATTCTCATTTTTCTAGTATTTAACTACAATGGCTAAGTCATTATAACAAAAAAAAAATTCTTAGATGTAAAGCAAATTACAAAGTATTACAAAAATTTCCTATTAATCAGTCTATTGGAGGGAGGGAAACATTTAGGTTGGGGGGGGTAGTTTTTACCTCTGATATCACCCCCAGCACAGAAAGCCTTTCCACCAGCTCCTTTTATAATGATCAGGAAAGTTTCAGGATCTTGTTCCCAATTCTATCCAAAAGAAAAAGTAAAAGATGGTAAAAGCATATTATAAATACTAACTACAAAAAAAATCTATATGCATATATATGCATACATATGTACATATATACATCTATATAGATAGATATGTATCAATACATATAAAGTACCAGCTTTATAGAGTACATCCAGAAGAATGGATCCCAACTTCATTTTCTTTTCTGACACAAATTAGACACTATCTCAACAAGTTGCTAGATGAATACATCTTGTGATCCAAATTGCATGATGGCATCTGAAATCTTTGCCATGACAACTTTGAGACCAAAACGAAAAAAATATGGGCTTAAAAATATGTTACAGAAGCTTATATATCTGGTGAAAAAACAGAGCAAGAACCTTTCTATTGCGGTGATACAGGGCTCTGTCCTACTGACAAATTTATAAGCAATCGAGTGAAACCACTTATACTGATCAAATCTTGAAGTGATTTGAGGTTGGTTAAGGACAGCTAATAAATAAGTAGGATGAAAGAGTCAAGAGACCCAATGGAAATTCAAAAGACAACAACAGACTAAAAAATCAACAGGAGCTCTATAAATTCTACACTTGCGAATAGAAATATAAACCTACTTGGAAGAGATGTAGCTGGACAGATATGGCTGTCCAAAAGGCTAATGCAATATTGGACATTAACAGAAATATGGCATTCTAACATGGAAGTTTCTACTTTCCTCCACTATATGGTCTAATTCCAATCTGAAACACTTGGCTTATTTCTCTTTATTACATTTAAAGACATATTATATGGTGTCCCAAACAGACACAACAGTATGGAAGAGAGACTCATCAAATGAAAATTAAGGAACTGGTAACCAGGGGAGAGTTAGTCTTTGTGGCTGACCATGTGAGGTATACTATTTCACTTCATCTCCACAACAGTCCTGTTCGATATAATCATCCCCATTTCACAGCTGAGGAAAATGACGAACAGAGAGATTAACACTGCCAAACTACACAGTTAATAAAAAGAAATCCAACTTTTAAATAAAGTAGTGGGACTGTAAGTCATGCTTTTCCACTGCACCATGTAGTTCACTTAGAATAGAAAAGCTTATAGCCTTCTCTAAGATAGGCTGGCCAAGCAGTTCAAAAAAAGCTGTCACATGGGGATGATCAGGACGCCTGGGTGGCTCAGTCAGTTAAGCATCTGCGTTTGGCTCAGGTCCTGATCTCAGGGTCCTGGGATCAAATCCCACAACGGACTCCTTGCTCAGCGAGGAGTCTGCTTCTCCTTCTCCCTATCCCTCTTCCCACTGCTTGTGAGCGCTCTCCTACTCTGTCTCAAATAAAATCTTAAAAAAAAAAGCTGTCACATGTAAGAAGATTGGATTTGTATACTCATATCCCAAGAGGCAGAACTAGTACCACTGGTTAAAAGGTCAGAGAAGTACAGTGGCAAAACACAGAAAAGAAACGTGGAGCTATGTAAAAGTGGAAGGGGCTATCTCAGGAAGCCATGAACTCCCTGTCACTAGGGAGGCTCCAGGATAATCACACAGGGAAAGCACAGAAGACAAGAAATCAACAGGGCTTGGGTGCTGATCCCAGATATTCTATGGAAGAGAATACCAGAAATGTTCTATTGAGATACACTTCTAAAAGGATCCATATAATTTCTTTAGGGAAATTACAAACCTTCAGCTGTGGATAAATGTGCCGAATCATACTAACATTCAGTGCATTTAGGAACTTTGGTCTGTTTAGTGTTATCACTCCTGCACAACCTTTTTTTTCCAATAGTACTTCTGCTGCCTCCGTGTGCTTAGACATTCTCTGTGTAAAAAAAGAAAAACTTTAGGATAAAATGCATTAAGGTTGTGTCACAAGCCAACATCAAACCACATACAGGTACACCTCAGAGATACTGTGGGTTCAGTTCCAGACAACCACAATAAAGGAAATGTTGCAATAAAGTCAAATGATTTTTGTTTTGTTTCCCCAATGCACATAGTTACTTTTATGCTATACTGTAGTCTATTAAGTATGGAATAGCATGTCTGGAAAAACAATGTACATATATTAATTAAAAAGTAACTTATTGAGAGGAAGACGATGGAGTAGGAGGATCCCTAGGCTCATCTTGTCCCACAAACACAACTAGATAATAATCAAATCATTCTAAATACCCCAGAAATCAACCTGAAGACTGAGAGAACAAACTCCACAACTAAAAGGAGAGAAGAGGCCACACTGAAGCAGCAGCCAAGTTAAACATGCAGTAAAATATCATCAATTTTGGAAGTCAGAACCTGCTTAATAATTATGTTAACCTTGCTTTATGACTGAATAAAGCTGACATTCTGAAAAGAAAAAAAGTAATTTATTGCTAATAAATGCTAACCATCATCTACACTTTCAGTGAGTCAGATTCTTTTTGCTGGTGGAGAGTCTTGCCTCAATGTTGGTGTTTGCTGACTGATCAGGGTGGAAGGTACTGAAGGTTGGGGTGGCTGTGGTAATTTCTTAAAATAAGACAACAGTCAAGTTTGCTGTATTGGTTGACTCTTCCTTTCACAATTTCTCTGTAGCATGCAATGCTGTCTGATAGCATTGTACCCACAGTAGAACTTCCAAAATCCTCTCAAACCCTGCTGCTCCTTTATCTACTAGGTTTATGGAACAGTCTAGATCCTTTGTTGTCATTCCAACAATTTTCACAGCATCTTCACAAGTAGATTCCATCTCAAGAAACCCCTTTCCTTGTTCATCCCTAAGAAGCAACTTCTCATTCATTAAATGAAATTATCATGAAGTTGCCAGAAATTCAGTCACATCTTCAGGTCTACTTCTAAATCCAGTTCTCTTGCTATTTCCACCATTTCTGCAGTTATTTCCTCCACTAAAGTCTTGAACCCCTCAGTCATCCATGAGGATTGGAATCAACTTCTTCCAAACTCCTGTGAATGCTGATATTTTGACCTCTTCCCATGAATCATGAATGTTCTTAATGGCATCTAGAATGATGAATCCTCTCCAGAAGGTTTTCAATTTACTTTGCCTAGATCCATCAAAGAAATCACTCTCTATAGCAGCTATAGCCTTATGAGATACATTTCTTAAATAGTAAGACTGAAAATCAAAATTGCTCCTTGACCCAGGGCTGCAGAACAGATGCTGTGTGAGCAAGCTCCACGAGAGCTCTTGGCTGACCAGGTGCATTGTCAACTAGCAGTATTTTGAAAGGCATCTTCTTTTCTGAGCAGTAGGCTTCAACAATAGGCTTAACATTTTCAGTAAATCATGTTGTAAACAGATACGCTGTCATCCAGGCTTTGTTGTTCCATTTATAAAGCAAAGCAGATCTAGCATAATTCTTAAGGGCCCTAGGATTTTCAGAATGGTCAATGAGCATTGGCTTTAACTTAAAGTCAGTAGCTGCATTAACCCCTATCAAGAAAGTCAGCCTGTCCTTTGAAGCTCTGAAGCCAGCCACTGACTTCTCCTCTCTAGCTATGCAAGCCTAGATGGCATCTTCTTCCAATAGAAGCCTGTTTCAACTATACTGAAGATCTTGTTTAGTGTAGTCACCTTCACTATCTTAGCTAGACCTTCTGGATAACTAGCTGCATCTTAGACATTTGCTGCTTCACCTTGCATTTTTACATTATGGAGATGGCTCCTTTCTTTAAACCTCATGTTACTAACTTCTGCTAGCTTCATACTTTTCTTCTGCAGGTTCCTCACTTCTCTCAGCCTTCATAGAATTGAAGAGAGGGCCTTATTCTGGATTAGGCTTGGATTAAAAAAATATTGTAGCTGATTTGATCTATCCCAACTAAAACTTTCTCCGTATCAGCGAAAGACTATTTCACTTTCTTACTCATGTGTTCACTGGAGTAGCACTTTTAATTTCCTTCAAGAACTTTTCCTTTGCATTCACAACTTGACTAACTGGTGCAAGAGGCCCAGCTTTTGACCTATCTTGGCTTTTGCCATGCCTTCCTCACTAAACTTAATCATGTCTAGCTTTTGATTTAAAGTGTGAGGCATGTGACTCTTCCTTTCACTTGGAGGCCACAGTGGGATTATTAATTGACCTAATTTCAATGCAGTTGTATCTCAGGGAATAGGAAGGCCTACGGAGGGGGAGATGAAAGAACAGGAGATCAATGGAGCAGTCAGAACAGACACATTTATTGATTAAGTTCACTATCTTATACGGGCACGGTTCATGGTGCCTCCAAAACAATTACAACAGTAACATCAAAGATCACTGATCATTGTTCACCAAAACAATAGTGAAAAAATGTGAAATACTGTGAGAACTACCAAAATGTGACACAGAGACACAGAGTGAGCAAATGCTGTTGGAAAAATAGCATCAATAGATTTGCTCTACTGATGCAGGGTTGCCACAAACCTTCAATTTATAAAAAACACAGTATCTGCAAAACACAATAATATGATATATGCCTGTACATCGATGCAAATCTTTCACACAATGGTAACTCATCAAATGGATTACTAGGTACTTCCAACAAAGATTTCTAAAATTATTTAGATTCTGTAGATAAGCAAAATATACATACCAAAAGTGTATACACAGTATATACAAAGTATACACATAGTAATTAAATCTTTTAATTTTTGAATGAATGGAGTCAACTTCCTTCATGAAGGAAGGCCCAGGGAGCCATGAGCATATTTGTTCTCCCACTGGAAATCCAACTGTATATAAGGAAGAGCAAATGTTAAATCATTTAAAGAGAGCTATTTTTCATAGTTTCCAGAACATAAATGTGTTTCAGTACACACTGTTGTAAAACAGTGTTTCTACTTATGTTCTTATACATCTGTTGTTGTGTTTATTCATCCTCTAAGTTCTGACTTTTAGAAATAACAATAAGTCTATTTTTTAATCTGTTAAAAAAAAAAGTACTAAGCTATATGACTTGTTTTCTTACCTTATTGGTACAAAAAAAAAAAAAAGTGGTAAAAGAAAACTATACACAAAAATCACAAAAGAAACCAGACCAAAAGGGATACCAAGTCCACAAGCAGACAAAGCCTTCCCCCAGACTTCACTATCACCTTCTCTTTCACAGTCCGACTCTACCAGTTGGAAGTGCCTGGCTTCTCAGATTTTCTTCCAAGTTCCTACTGACCCACTTGTGGTCTGACCCTACTCCTCCTCTAGACCCTTTCATACCTTCTGTCAGTATTGTGGAAGATCTTATCCCCATTACCTTTGATTCCATAAAACTGTAGGGGAGAAAAAATAATTTTCCCTCTACCCTTCCAGGTTCTTAGCTAAGAGCCCCCCTGTAATAAAGACAGATTAACAGTAGAAAATTTTCATTTCTTAAGGGGGCCCCACAAAGATGTGAGACCCAAAGGCAGCCAAGCAACTGAGGCTCATAAGCCATCCTGAGCTAAGGAAAGAAACAGGGTCTGGGGCTTCAAAGGGGTAGGAAAGCAATTCACCAGGAAGTAAAAAGAGCAAATGTTTAGTTTAATATTTGTTTAATATTTGCTGTGCCATGCAGATAAGTCTCAAATATAAAAAAGTTATACTATGTGTATCCCTGCTATCCTCCTGGTACAATCCTCCTTTCTAATTTCTTTTAGGCAGTTGAGAGGGAGGGAAAAAGTGTTTCCTGAGTCTGCTGGATCTTGATTGCCTTCAACTCAAAATAATTCACATGCCAAAGTGACAGATTTTAAGGGTGGTATATTCTGCTCCCCTTTGAGACTTTTCTTGCTTCTTGAGGTGGGCCTGTATTGCTATATACTTCTCTCTTATGATCACTTTTGCTGCATCCCAAAGATTTTGGACCATCATGTTTTCATTTTCATTTGTTTCCATGTATTTTTTTTATTTCTTCTTTAATTTTCTGGTTAACCCATTCATTATTTAGTAGGATGTTCTTTAACCTTCATGTACTTGTGGTCCTTCCAAATTTTTTCTTGTGGTTGTCTTCAAGTTTCATAGCGTTGTGATTGGAAAGTATGCATGATTTGATCTCACTTTTTGAACTTGAGGCCTGATTTGTGACCCAGTATGTGATCTATTCTAGAGAATGTTCCATGTGTATGCAAAAAGCATGTGTATTCTGCTGTTGCAGGATGAAATGTTCTGAATATATCTGTAAGGTACAACTGGTCCAGTGTGTCATCCAAAGCCATTGTTTCCTGCTGATTTTCTGCTTAGATGATCTACCCATTGCTGTAAGTGGGGTGTTAAAGTCCCCTATTATTGCATTATTATCAATGAGTTTCCTTATGCTTATAATTAATTGATTTATATATTTGGCTGCTCCCAGGTTGGGTGCATAAATATTTACAATCGTTAGATCTTCTTGTTGGATACACCCTTTTATTATGATACAGTGCCCTTCATCTCTTGTTATAGTCTTTGGTTTAAAATCTAGTTTGTCTGACATAAGTATGACTACTCCGGCTTTTTTTTTTGATGTCCATTAGCAGGACAGATGGTTTTCCATCCCCTCACTTTCAATCTGCAGGTGTCTTTAGGTCTAAAATGAGTCTCTTGTATGCAGCATTTAGATGGGTCTTATTTTTTTATGCATTCTGATACCCTATGTCTGATTGGAGCATTTAGTCCAGTTATATTTAGAGTGATTATTGATAGATGTGATTTTAGTGCCATTGTATTACCTGTGAAGTTGGTGTTTCTGGAGATTTTCTCTGTTCTAGTCTTTGTTGCTTTTGGTCTTTCTTTCCCACTCAGAGAGTCCCCTCTAATATTTCTTGCAGGGCTGGTTTAGCGGTCACAAATGCTTTTAGTTTTTGTTTTCTGGGAAACTCTATCT